ATTTGAGGAGAAATATCATAATCCTTCGAATATTTACTTTACATGATGTTTATAAATAATTTTTTCCAGATAATATTCAGATGAAATGTATAAATTTTAATCTACTATTATCGTGACCAACAAATATTAAGTAGGAAGAAATGTAGGATTCATGAAACTCGATAAAGATTGAAGCAATAAATGCGCGATAAACTTTCACTTAATGCGAAATTCTTGCAAATGTGTAACCTACTCTTAGACGTATTAATTACAATCACTTGAACTGAAATTTTAATTAAAGTGGTCATTATAAGGATTATTCCTAATAGCTCCAAGACCAACATCGCCGGCAGTTGCGTCTCTCGAGCCTGCAAAGGAACGTCGTTGCTCATTCTTAAGGGTGCTCAGTCAGCCAATAAAACATTGTTTTGCATGTAAGAGTCAATGGCATGTGCGCGTATACATCCCGAGTAATATACAACCTGGTACCGGTTACCGGCGTGCATGCACGCTGATGACGATAGTTATGAGGATTTCCTAATCTTCCCCGGAGAATTATTAGCCTCCCGTTGATTCACCGAGAAAGATACCGCGAGCGTGTGGCTTCTAACCTTTCGGCAAAGATGATCATAGCCCATCCCGTGGACCATCGATCGAATAACAAATTTTGTAACAACGGTGTAATACTTGTAATAAATACAACAAAAAATGTGTACAAAAAAAAAAACAGTGCAGAATATTTCAGCGACTATAAACGTGTTTATCGTGAAACGGGACTACGCAAGCCTGGATTGATTTACAATTATTACCTTCGTTCTGCATGAACATCAATGTATACATACGTTTCACTTGAAAAATTTCATACAAAAGAAAAAAGAAAGAAAAAGAGTAGGGTAAAAAAAGAAAATGTTAAACGTTTGCCGAAGGTTTGTTCGAGAGTGCAAACGAAAAAATCGACATAGCTGTCCGACAGGTGCGCCGACTTAATTGCCGGTCTTTGAAGGAAAACGTTCGTAGCGCCGGAAGGAACGTGAGGCAATGCGTGGAATTCTGTTTGGATAAAGGTATCGATACCCGTTCGAATTTCTCTGTTATTGAAATCTATGATCTATCTATATAAATCTATATCTATAGATTATATTCCCAAGAAAAAAAGTGAGTCATTTTTATTTTAACCACAATAGGGGGACCAGGGTTGAAACTAACAAGGGTAAATACCTACTACATAATGCGAAAAATCGATTGAAAATTTTATGATGGTTTTATAGTTAGGCCACGCACTGAATAAACTTCGATCCATGAATTATTGAAAACTAAAATTGCATTATTATTTATCGTTTTTATCGTAAATCATCGGGACTGACATCAGGTGACAGTATTTATCGATATAAATTCACGATGATTACAGTTGACACTAAGGATAGTTCAGTGTATCGCATTCCAAACGGTTAAACGAATCATGGAGACACTTCCTGATGCAACGTTTCCTCCCTAGGCGGCCATTACAGAGAGAGCTTTCCGATGGAAAAAGTGGCTGGATCGCCGCCGGGGGCGAGCTAATTTAATTGCCAGGTCCGGAAAGAAGCGTGCTCGCCGGTGGCCAGAGCCCTGTACACACGGCTAATGCCGATCCGCGCAGGTGTATAGTACCGATAATAGTACGGTTATAATAACAGACAACGTGCATACTCGCGCGAACGTGGATGACTCGCACACGTCGTCGCGTACATGCGTGTAGACACTGCATTCGAATTACGAGCGTTTCAACGATTTTTCCAGTTATCGGTAATACGAAGTTGCCTGCAGTCTGTATCTCACGTGGTAGGTACAGCTATTTGCATTTTCTACTTCGCTCGTTCTTGAACGTATTTTCCATTACGCTCCTGCTCGTCTGATAATAATTTGTATCCCGTTTGTGGCTCTCTGAACCGTGATTTTAATTGTTCTGAACAGAATTACGAACTTCAGAGGCCATTTTTGTAGGCTGCTAGTGGTTTGCACACGGGATGAATTTCTCTCCTGAGAAAAGACTATCAAAATTACTATTTTAAATAGCGTAAAGGGTATTGTACGATGGTATACCTTTAATTTGCCTGGAAAGTCACGCAAAACGATTTTTTCATTGAATATTGAAATTGAAATTAAATTGAAAAACTTTTCATTCAATTGTCCATGTTTTCACTCTGAACTACAACCTTTAGTTCTCAAATATGATTTTCCAATAACGAACAATTGTTTTTCCGCTCTGTTCCCCAGAGGCACCGCTTTGACTACGACGATCAAAATATTAATTCTAAATCAATATTCGTGAAACAGCGTTTGGAATCCGAAGAACAACTGTACCTCGTGATTCACGCATTTCTCTAACGCTTTTCCATTAATGCCATAAACGAGTCCAATTTAAATTCACCGGATTACTCGAAACGGAATATTAATTCTCGCCGCAGGAATCGGTCGATTCGCGAAATTAATTACACGCTGTCGATAGAAATTCAACTGAACACTCGACAGAATTCACGTCATCGCCAGCTGTTCTTCGCGGTCCAATCGTGTCACAAGGGCTAGTTCGTCGCGGCATTCGATTCGAGTCCAGACGACGCGCATAATTATCAAAGAGCCTGCGCGTTACCATCGAGGGCCCGAGGGCCATCTCGAGCCTCGTCGTGGGGCTTCCAGGTAGCGGTAGGTCGAATCGCAGAGGATCGTTAGCGCGGACGAGCAACTTGAAAAAAATCGCGCGTTAATAGCGGCGCGCAATTAAATAATAGCCAGCCGTGTACCACCACCCGCTGAGGCGATTTCATTAAAGCGCCACTTAAGACGCGATACACGATATTCCGCGGAATGAATACGGTCGGCATTCCGGGTGCCATTTCGCGTCGCGTCGAAACGACGTAAACGCGAATCAACCGTCAAAGGATTTTATATGAACGTCTGACGAGAACTGGAACAACAAATTATGGGGAGTTTTCGATACTGACAGAGTTTATTAAAGAATTTTTCGGATGATTTAAACCTTTTATTCTTGGGTTCGGTGTAATTTATGATGAATCGTCCCCGAATGGTGGATTTATTACGGTTTGACCATTGAGATACCTAATGAATCTCAAAAGAATTACTTCATGAATTAATCTTTTGTAATTACCTATACCTTCTTATAACGTATAGATTTAAATTTGAAAAATAGGAAAAACTTAGTTAATTAAATTTAAATGGACAACTACGGATTTTACCAGTGAATGAATAATATTAAACAAAAGGAACATTGCTAACCAGTGGCGTGAAAATTGTTTGAATATAAAACAAGGAATTGAACAAAATCAATATTGAAGCATTTCCTTATTTTAATAACTTTTTATAGAACCAGAAGACATATACAATTATACGCCTAAATCTGTGCTTCAGACTGTAATTAATAATTAATAAATTAATAATAAGCCTTGGCCCTCCCGGGGGAAACAAACTTCTGTAAGGCTTGAAGGAGAAAGGCAGGGTAGAAGATCCATAAAAAAGAAGGACGGAAGGAGGAAAGTTTCAACGGTTAAAACGATTATTAGGCGTTTCTTTCGCCCTGGAATGCTATAAAGCCGGGAGATACGAAATCTCTGGATGACGAAGGGGCGCCAAGGTTGGTCCTTCCACGGAGGCTGCCTGATTTATTAATTTCTTCGTTCCGAGGCCCGTTTTCTTTGGATCCGTGCACGACCCGCGGCTCCCTACATCGATTCGACGATACCTTTGCACGTCCCACCAATTAAATTGATAATAACGCGCCGCGTTACCTGCTCGTTATCGTGCCTAGTAGGCTGACTCCTAACGCAATCGTTAAGTGACACCCACTCGCACGCGATCGTCACCGGCGAACGTATAGGGCTCGTGAAAACAGCGACATTTCAACCGAGGACAGTTCCAATTACTTTCAAGTACTTCAGTAATGTTGCAACTTTGTCTATGATGGAGAAATCATTTTTGCCATAAAGTTCCTTTATTCTATTTAGGATTCTATCGAATCCAAAATAAGATGAAGACTTTATCTCTCATTCGTACTATCTACTCCAGAAGTTATGAACCTTTCTTTTTGTTTCACTCTGTATATGTAATACCAAGAAAGAATGAAATATTGAGCCACTCGACTATGTAGTTTCATTTCGCCAAGATCGGGATGAATGAAAAATGATTTGTCATATCTAGATAACGGGCGTTCGACACACCCTGTGAGACTAATTGGAAACCTTTTGGTAGTGCTGACCGTGCCACTTAATTTCAATTCTTATCTAAGTCTTCAAGGTTCCAGATCTGTGAAGTCTACCCCGACAGATGTGAACCTCTGACAATTAGACCAATAGTACAAAGACAAGAGTTTCACTTATCACCAACTTATCGACTAAACGAGAGAGTTGACCTTAGAACACACGGTTTTCCGAGATCGTTCCGGGTATATCGCAGAGCAGATAAATCGTTCGAGCTCGCCGAGAGATTGTGCCCCAAAGATATTCCCTGTCCGGCTTTCGCACTGATTCATTGACACGATTTCTTTTTCTACCTCGATGTAGAAATAATAACGAAGAAATTAATGACCGATCAGAACTAGAAACGAGTTCCCGATCGATACCAGAGACGGTTCAAGACCGCCCCCGATCGGTTCCCCATCGAAATTACGAAATTAATATTTACGTCACTCATCGGTCTAAATATACCATCGGATGGTTTAAGTTTAAGTGGATAAGCATGTACAGGCCGATTTAGTGGCATGTAATCGCGCCAATAAACCTAAAGAGCGCCCCGTGAAATCATACATCGAAGCCAGAATCCCTTCGGCCTCGAGGAGCTCCTCGAGAAACAAGAAAACGATGAAAAAAAGGCCAATCGATAACCACGAATCGCAGCCGGAGGGCCATGTGGCGAACCAATAAGAATTAACAGCGATCTTTTCATTACTTAACCTCCCCCCACCACTCGTGACCTGTTTAACGCCCGAGGAAAATTCGTGCATACGAATAAAATCCAAGAAAATACTTCACCTTGACGAGCAGGTGGATCGGCTGGCTGACGCTGAGTGGTTTGCCTCTTCTGGCGTTTCCGCCTCCGCCACCCAGACACTTTATCCACGGCATTCCATCGCCTCCCCGTCGCCCCGTTCGCTTCGATCCTCCTACCTACGTTTTCTCTTCCTGGCTCGCGTCTATCTTCCGCGAATCCTTCAAGGTTCCCTCGGCTTTCCGCTTCGATTCGCGACGCTCGATCGCGAACGCATCTCGGCTCAGCCCTCGCGGAACCCTTTAACACTGCGAGCTCTATGGTGAAATACGATAAATCCCTCGGATACCGAACTGAAGAGGATTCTAGATCGAATCGAAAAGTCGAATTATCCTTGGAAAAATCGTCGAATTCCTCTTCCCTTTATTCTGTCGGTCAATCAACACCTTATTCTTGAATATTACTTCGTTAAACAATCTTTTTACATTAAACTGCTTTCATAATTATGGATCTTCTGGGAGTTGTTATGGCTTATCCAGAGTAATAAATCTTCTAGGCCTCAAAGTTTCTTCCTAAAGGAATTTAGTCGCTGATTTTTTCCAGGACTTTCACGATTGCTGGGGGAATCTTCGATTATCCACACAATTTTCTTAAAATCCTCAAGAATGTTACATCCTCAGTGGAACATCACGAAGGGGTTTTCTTTCTTCACAATCCTTCAACAATTTCTTCATCCCTCTTGAACTTTCAAATACTCCCGCGTGTCACTCGCGACCACACGCCCACCGATTCCCCGACGAAACTCAATCACATATTGCTCACAGCAGACACGTATACTCCGGGTTGCTTCTCATTTGGGCGTGACTCGTTCGTTACAATGGAGAATCAGGCGCACAAATTGGTTCGATGGGAAACGTTGCATCGGTAATTTTCGCGTGCTCTTTTCCCCCTTCGCGCCGACGTAGACACGACCCACACACGTCCTCTCTCGCGCGCGGCTCCCGCGACACTGGCGGCTGTCGACTTCGCTATCGTCGATTTTATACGGGTCGCCTTGACAGTCCGGGTCACCGCTTCTCTTATCTCGCGAAGAAGACGCTGCACAACGCCCAGGCCACCCCCTCGCGACGAGTACCTTCTTTCAGGGGATGCGCTCCGAAAATCCTATCGCGAATAACACGTGAAAATTTCTGTAGGAAGGGAGGGGCAGGTGTTTGATTAAAAAAACTGGGAAGTTCGATTCGAAAGGCGAATTCTCGTCTTTTTCTTTTCCACCCGGATTGCACGGTCGATTTTCTATTCCTTGTTGTCGTTAATAGGAATTCCACGGAAAACACGAAAATTCGGTGAGTTTTCGTTCGATTGTGTTTTGTAATCTCCTCTGTTCGTATAAAATGTTTTTCACGTTTCTTAAAAAAAGCTTTTCACAGTTCTGTCTAAAGAGGCTTGTATGATCTTCTAATGGTTTTAATATATGAATCAGTCAAATAGTACCTTTATAGTACTTTTTTCGATTGATCCAATCAGACGTAAAAACTTCTTATGTAGATTTTCCTTTTACTATGTGTGAAATTGAGTGTTTATGATGAGAAAATTTTCACCAAGAATCGTGCCGGTTGGCCGTGTCGACAGGAATCTCTGACGTTTGTTTATCGATCGTTAACGTGATCTGCTTCGATGTTGCTCCATCGGGTACCGATATAAACCGATCATTTTCGTGTGACACGTTAATAGAATGAAGGAAAACGAAGTTCGAGGGTGTCGATCGGACCGTATACGATGTAATAAATACACACGTGAGAATAAACGAGTTCGTCGCGTGTACTGGACGGCTCTCGATTTCACGAGCCTCGTGTTTTCTCGACCAGCTCGACCCGCGGCCCGCCGTCGACTGACAGAAAATACCAGCCGGGACCCCGAAGAGCGCTGCCGAGGGCCGGACAGAGGGGCGGCGGAAGGAATCGACAATCCGTGTCGAAACGCAGCTCGGGCTCTTCGCATCTGCGCCTCTCTTATGCTTTTTAACCGATCCCTTTTGTTTCTCTCTCATTCGCGACGATCGCCCAGAAAGATCAACCGATGTTTTGTCACGGTTATTTGCTGGTAGATCGCAAACATTCACGTGGATTAAACGCTCGGGGGTCAGGAGTCTATGTTTTCGTTGTAGAAAAATATTGGAGCAGAAAATATTAGATACAATCGCAATTACCGATAGAACATGAGTTATTTTTTAATCTTTTCTGCTTTGTTTTAGATATAAGAATTTCATTTATTTTGAATAATGTTTACGTTTCACTCCAATTTTGGACGCCGTAAAGCCGATTAATGAACAGCTCAGGGAAAGTTTCCTTATGATATCACATTCTAACGAGGAAAATTCTTAATGAGATGCTAAAGAACATAGTTTCTCATTTATTCTTTGCATACTGTGATAGGTAGGTACATTACTTTATCAGAATAACAATATCGTCCACTATATCTGGTTAAATTGAATACTCTTTTTTTTCTGTGAATCAGAAGTCCAGGGCTACTTCAATAATAATCTTGTTCTTCGAAGCTCTTTACCATTTTCACATATAAACAGGGCGGAAAAAGGTTATGAAATTAAACTATGATCTGTTTATTAACAAGAAAGACTACCTATTGGTGCACCTGATATTTAACCCTTTTAGTACCTTAGAGCCTGAGGTATACTATATACATATATTATACGGTCTCTTTTGGTTTTTCTATTGAATACATATGAATATCTATTGTATATGATAATCCCGGTATTTTCATACTTCGGTTTCTATAAGGGTTACGAAGGTACAACCGAAAAATACCGGTATTTTACGATTCCCTAGAAATCCCTGGAAATAATCCTCGAAAACCAAATTATTTATCGAACGAACCAGTACACATCGAAAAATCGACGACGATTTAAGCGATCTCGCACCGGTTTCTCGAGCCCACCCCTGAACCGGTCCTCCCTGATGCACCCCGTAAAGATCGTGTAACGAGAGGATGGACGGTAAAAAAATGATGATATCGGCGGGGGCAAATTACATTACCACCGTGAAACAAAACGTGTCCGGTAGTATAGATACCGTGTCGTACAAGCTCCAGGTATCAACGTGGAAACGTGTTTACATCTCGTCGTGGCGCAGCGGCCCCGCAGATCTTTCCGATGCGAGGGGCACATAAAGCCAGTGTGCGCCGTGGCCCCACGTATTTACACGAGGCCGGCAGCACGACGTGGTTGGTCGGGGGACCAGACGATGATCGAACGGAAGTCAAGGTAACAAGAACGTGCAACGCAGAAGCCGGTCTCGATCCACAACCCGTTCGTGCAATGCACGTCGACGGGAGCGACATACTTGAAATTTCGACGAAGTCTCTGTTGCGCAATTGCCTCCGCCGCCGATGACGACCGTCGACACGGGGAACGAATCAATGAGACATAATGACGCGTACGAGGAGACACTCGAGAAGTAAAATAAAAGGATCTGTCTCTTGGGCGGAGAGGAAACGTTAGGACTGATTGATTAATCGTCTTGTTGACGGCGATCACGATGGAGGTATAAAAGTATCGAACCTTATTCTTGTTACTCAGGAGAATTTTTCATTGGGAGATTGTTATGGACGAATGACGAGGGTACGATACTTTTGCATACCTACTTTTAATTCTATATATACTGCAGTAGAACGTTGATTATTCGAGGGTCAAAAGGGTATTTGAGATGAAAACAGGAATTTCGCGTAAAAATACTTGTAAAATCGAATGTGATAATTTTCTGACTCTGGCAACGGAAGGCACGGAAGTGTCCCCCTCCGATTTTTATGAAAGTTCGTAAGTCTGTTAAGCAGTCAAAAATAAGGGATACGTATTTTTTTTCATCGGCTGAGACGCGACTTTAAGGGGTGAAACTACACCTCGAAGTTTCGATACTCAAAGGTACTCCAACTTACGATACCAAAAGCCAAAATCTATTGGAAGGTGTACAGAACATCACCGACAGGTAATCGTTGTTAGAGACAAGTTATCATAAAATGAAATCCACACGAACTTATTGGACAACCTAATAAACCCCCTTCCCCAAAAAAATTATATCCACATGTACATCGTTACGTAATTAGAATCGAAGTCCCCAGTTTTTTGCTGGGGCCTGTCTGCACGAAACGTATCGGGATTACAGGCTCGAGGGAGGAAGATAAATCATCGACTTCTTCGAAATGTCTCCTTTCCTCGATGACCGTTGGCCGAGTAGTCGCTAATTAAGTTTGCACAACGCCTGCCGATGCCTCTGCTGGCCGCATAACGAGGCGTGTGTAACTTTCTGTTCAAGCGGGCGACGATACGAACGGAATACTTGATATCCCCATCGAGCTTTGGGTCTCTTTCTGGGCACGTGCTGCCCCCGTCCCCTCCCCATCGAGCAGAAAGGGGTGAATCCGGAAGCTGCCAACGTTTTCTTCGTTTCCACGAAACAAAGAAGAAAGGAGGTTGGGTGGAAGAAATCTGGAAACGGCCAGCGTGCAACTTTTCTCGCGAGGAGACTCTCCTTGCAGCTGAAACCTTAAAAGTCTACGAAAGTTTTGCTCGGGGCCAGAGGCTCGTAATGAAATTGATATTGTAGAATGTTGCCTGAAAGTATTAAACTTTCTTTCTTTTTTTAATAAAAAAGAACAGAGTGGATATTTTACGAAGACTGTGCAAGGGGTAGTAGTTATGAGGATGATGGTGTGTGTCTGTGAAAGCGATTGTAAGCTCTAAAATGGCACAGAAATGGCCTATTATAGAGAGATTGTTATTGCTAAATTTGATCCCAGATTAAAGCTGAATAAACAGGGTTAATGGAATCACGTCGAATGCTTTTACGTAAATAAACAGTGATTATGGATACAGGTATCGGTTCTATTATCGAAGGACCGTGTATGAATATTCAGCAGAACGACGAGAGCTCGGTAACCCATCGATCGTGAGATCCAGCAGGAA